TATTGTACCTAGTTCAGTGACATTCTCACCTGTGATGATGGCCACACGGCCCTTCAGACTCAGAGAAGACATAATGTTGACCAAACAGAACACAGCTGGGGCTGACTGCACAGATCTGGGAAAGGACGACGACTCAAGTTTCTGAGCCGCACTTCTCTCTCTCTATATATGGGAGCCGTAAGGAAAACCATGGTCTACACATGTTAATGTGTGTTGGCGGTTGGTGGTTTATTTCCGAACATATTATTATTACATTTAGTATTATTATAAGGGATACTTATACTGTATTATTATTATTTAGGCCACCAGAGCCCTCATGCTAAGGTTCAAAAAGAATTTCGTGTTGATACTTGACTGGGCAATACATGCATGATACACTTTCCTGGCGGGCTGACATGGCTTGCAGAATTGTTGAAAGGTTTTCTGCTCTCTGACGAAAGAAACGGTCCGGCCTGAGAGCTTTGAAAACAAGGCATAAAATTAGATTTTTGGAAGGTATACTTGGTTCACTTTCTATCTGACAATTACGGAACATTGGTTCTTTTGTGTATGTTCCATATTTGCACCAAGTATTTTTTTTCTCCATTTTTTCCAAAATATAAAAGAGAGAAGACAAATACGCATCAATGAAAATTATTACATTAAAACATATTCACGACTTATATAGTAATCATATCCAGTATTTCACTGATGAGTCCAAGGAGGATGAACGTAACTGGATCAGGATTCTATGTTAAAAAACAAAATATCCGGTCGTATTCAGGAATAACAGATTCTACTACTCTTCTTACTGCTGGACTGATAGCGACACAGGGAGCAATGAAACAGGCGTGCAGTGATGAGTTGGACAGGGATATTCTTATACTCAGTGATTCTCTCTCGGCAGCCCAATCACTTGGGGAACCTCACAGAAATCATGCTAGATTTGACATTCTACAGGACATAATTGAATTACATGAACAATTATTAACTAACGGGAAAAAGGGTTACCATTATTTGGGTACCATCACATTGCAGAATAGATGGGAATGAGATGGCTGATGGGGGGATAAAGAATATGGGTATGCTCCAAGAAAAGTTGTTCTTCATACTTATTTGTTTACTTATACTGTATTATTAT